CTGTGGACCGCATTCTACGCTTTGGGGGCCGACCAGCCTTCTTCTTGTAGACCGGAGGGAGGGTAACGCCGTCAAGGACCACAGAGGTTGGGTCGAGAAGTCGGATCGGCGTTCTGTACACTTGTTGCAGTGCTGAAGTTGTGTGATATTTCTGGATCACTGCGTGCGCCCTCTGAGCATCGTTTTAGAACACGGCGAAGATGTGTACGCATGGCAGCCCGTATTCCCTGTTTTTGGGATAAATGGGCGATGAGATAAAAGGGGATTAACGCATAACTGAAACCAGCAGGATTACGGTAGCTAAAACCAGCAGGATCTCATAACACACATGAACACTTGGGTAAAATAAGCCCACATTCAGCAAATATGATCGCAGCAAGCATATGTACACACGACAATTTGGCGACCTTATGCTCCTGCATGGACAAAGTGGAGGGATAAGGAAGGTTCTTTGAGTTGTAGGCAACTTGAAATTTCAGTTTAAACCGGATATCTCATATCACCATATTTCCCATGTCGCACGGGGAAGGCTCATGATAAATGGGACAAATGGGCAATAATTTAGAGAGGGTATAACGTAGGGGAAAATGAGCATAAGGTTGTAGAAAACATGATAATAGCAGCAGGAACGAGATTACATGGCTCTTAGGCCGAAGATGATGTTGGAAGAAATGAGCAGGAAAGGGGATTTCATAAGTTACGCAGACTAAACATGATAACTGGTGGCTGAAATTTGGAGTGGGTACAATATGAGGGTTGATCTTGCATGACATTTAGGAAGCCGATGAACACACTATTCAAGTACACAAGTGAAACATACGCTAGCAGTGCTAAAAACAGAACCTAAACACCACTTACTTGGTGTAGCCACATGAGCAGCGGGTGTCCGCAGCATCCACGGGGTTTGTGGTCACGACTCGCCTCTCGTCCCCTTGGCGTACTATGTACTCGTGTACTCCCGATTTAGCCACCCTGTATCTTTTGCCCTCATCGCGATTCCCAAGGACTATTGGCTTTGTCCTGGGAGGGAAGTCAGCAGCTGTCATCTCGGAGTATAATTGGCGCCTCTCTTCGATCTTCGTCGATAGCTTATCTGCCAAGCCTAGCAGCACCGGCGGCGGACTCTTATCCCGCAATCCCGAAAGCGACGCATGGTGAGACTCAACGGGATTGGAAGACAGGCATCCGTAACGCGGTGCTCCAAAATAAGTTGTCGCCCACTTAACACCCAACCCATTGTCCACAAGGTACGAGGATCCACCGGGACATTCCATCTCAATTTTTTCCATTGTCTTGAGGTACACAAGCTCCGTCAGAGCCGCGGCAGCTGCAAGAATTCGTCCGTCCAGATCTGTCCTGAACTTGTTTTTGAAGTTTCGAACCAAATGGGTGATGCAAAAAGACTCCCGTACAAGGGGGAGACAAGTGGATGTGGCGGATATCCAGGCCCCTCCCCTATCATGCATCATGACAAAGTCGGAGGAGTTCACCTCCGGAACGGCCTCCAGAAGGAGATTGAATAGGAAGGCGCATGCATGCTTGTTTTCCCCCTCCACCCATGCACATCCCAACATAACAAGCTTGTGTTGGCTATCTAACATGCATATGTTCAAGGTGTATCCCCCCCATGCGGTCTTACTATGACATCCATCCGCAAAAATGATGGGCAGGCAGTTCATGACCGCATCCCTCGCCCCTGGAAATATAATTCCTGCACGGTAGAAGTGATTTCCCCGCCTGACCATGGACACGACAGATGAGGGGTTTTTATCCTTGAACTTTCCTAACAGGTCCTCCATGTATTGAAATCCATCGTCTCCACAAAACGGATCCGCATTCCTCAGCTCAAAGAGCACCTCGCGCGCTACCGTGTACGAGCACTCCACCCGTAAAACCGCCCGAACACGACTAATCAGCGCATGGGGTCTCACGTCGCTATGCTTTAGCATCTCACGCGCAACCTCTTTGACCTCATCCCTCCGAATCCTTGCAGCTTCGGTGACACACCTATCGGCGTGATCCAAATCAGCCACCGTGACCCGCAGGTTACTATAGCGCGGTCCCCGCATGACAACACGGAATGGACACATCCCTTCTCCGATGTGCACCTCCCCACGAGGCCATACCTTGCCCTCCATGGACTTGCACCACACCTCAATGAGATCCGACCGATTATAGCGGAAATAGGGAGCAAACGTCTGCTGCCTACAGTACGACCGCACCTCCTCCCTTGCTGCTACAGCAGTTGGGTAGAGCTTCCCCTTGTAAATGTTGACAGCATCATCTTCCTGCACATCAAAATTGCTACAGGACCAAAAGATAACGGATGGAGGGATACCACACGAATGTTTGCAAGTTATCTTATACAATTCTTGTTAGAAAATGAACGATGGCTGATGTTACCAATGCACTTTAGCTAGTTTGGACAAAAAGACCATGCAGATTCAACATGTGTATTCAACCTCAGCCTCTCACCTTGAACGTATGAGGCGAAACATGTTGTTCCTCACGACCGCCTCAAGCTCTGTTGGACAATAAGACCATGCGGATATAGGGTGTAGTATTGTGCATAAGAGAGAATGGAAGGGGGAAAATTAAGAGCCTTTCAAGAGTTAGGGAACAAGAGAGAATGTCACACAGACAAGAGAGTGTATGAGAGCGTATGAGAGGGGATGAGAGGGGATGAAAGGGGATGAGAGGGAAAGAGAGGGAATGAGAGGGAATGAGAGGCGATGAGAGGGAACGGGAGTATGTGTACGGGGATGAGAGGGGATGAGTGTGTATGAGAGGGGATGATTGTGTATGAGAGGGGCTGAGAAGGGGTAAGAGGGGATGAGTGTGAATGAGAGTGTATGGAAGTGTATGAGAGTGGATGAGAGCGGATTAGGGGGTATGAGTGTGTATGAGTGTATGAGTGTGCACGGGAGAGTATGACGGGATGATAGCGTATATGATAGTGTATGGGAGGGTATGAGAGTGTATGAGAGGGGATGAGTGTGTATGAGAGGGGCTGAGAAGGGGTAAGAGGGGATGAGCGTGAACGAGAGTGTATGGAAGTGAATGAGAGTGGATGAGAGTGGATGAGAGCGGATTAGGGGGTATGAGTGTGTATGAGAGGGGCTGAGAGTGTATAAGATAGTGGATGAGAGGGGATGAGAGTGAATAAGGGTGCATGTGAGTGTATGAGAGAGGATGAGAGGGGTTGAGAGTGTATGAGAGTGGATGAGGAGGGTTGAGAGTGTGTAAGAGAGTGTATGAGAGTGTGTGAGAGTGTATGAGTGGGGATGAGAGGGGATGAGAGGGGATGAGAGGGGATGAGTGCTCATGAGACTGTATGAGAGTGTATGAGTGTGTATGGGAGTGTATACGAGGGGATGAGAGTGTATATGAGTGTATATGAGTGTATATGAGTGGGTCAAGAGGGTATGAGAGTGTATGAGAGAGGATGTGAGGGGATAAGAGGGGATGAGTGTGAATGAGAGTGTATGGAAGTGTATGAGAGTGGATGAGAGCGGATTAGGGGGTATGAGTGTGTATGAGAGGGGATGAGAGTGTATAAGATAGTGGATGAGAGGGGATGAGAGTGAATAAGGGTGCATGGGAGTGTATGAGAGAGGATGAGAGGGGTTGAGAGTGTATGAGAGTGGGTGAGGAGGGTTGAGAGTGTGTAAGAGAGTGTATGAGAGTGTGTGAGAGTGTATGAGTGGGGATGAGAGGGGATGAGAGGGGATGAGAGGGGATGAGAGGGGATGTGAGGGGATAAGAGGGGATGAGTGCTCATGAGACTGTATGAGAGTGTATGAGTGTGTATGGGAGTGTATACGAGGGGATGAGAGTGTATATGAGTGTATATGAGTGTATATGAGTGGGTACAAGAGGGTATGAGAGTGTATGAGAGAGGATGTGAGGGGATAAGAGGGGATGAGTGTGAATGAGAGTGTATGGAAGTGTATGAGAGTGGATGAGAGCGGATTAGGGGGTATGAGTGTGTATGAGAGGGGCTGAGAGTGTATAAGATAATGGATGAGAGGGGATGAGAGTGAATAAGGGTGCATGTGAGTGTATGAGAGAGGATGAGAGGGGTTGAGAGTGTATGAGAGTGGATGAGGAGGGTTGAGAGTGTGTAAGAGAGTGTATGAGAGTGTGTGAGAGTGTATGAGATGGGACGATAGGGGATGAGAGGTGATGAGAGGGGATGAGAGGGGATGACCAGGGATGAGAGTGCACGAGAGTGAAAGGGAGTGTATGAGAGTGTATGAGTGTGTATGGGAGTGCATAGGAGGGGATCAGAGTGTATATGATAGTGTATAAGTGGGTATGAGTGGGTACGAGAGGGTATGAGAGTGTATGAGAGGGAATGACATGGGATGAGAGGGGATGAGAGCGTATGAGTGTGTATGGGAGTGAAAAATAGGGGATGAGAGTGTATGAGAGTACATATGAGTGAGTACGAGTGGGTATGAGAGTATATGCGAGGGAATGAGATGGGATGAGAGGGGATGAGAGGGGATGAGATTGAATGAGAGTGTATGGAAGTGTATGGGGGTGGACGAGAGCGGATTAGGGGGTATGAGTGTGTATGCGAGGGGATGAGAGTGTTTAAGAGTGTCTGATAGTGCATGAGAGAGGATGAGAGGAGTTGAGAGTGTATGAGAGTGGATGAGGAGGGTTGAGAGTGTGTAAGAGAGTGTATGAGAGTGGGTGAGAGTGTATAAGATGGGATGAGAGGGGATGAGAGGGGATGATAGGGGAATGAGAGCGTATGAGAGTGGGTGGGAGGGAATGAGAGCGTATGAGTGTGGGTGAGAGGGAATGAGAGCGTATGAGTGTGGGTGAGAGGGAATGAGAGCGTATGAGAGTGGGTGACAGGGAATGAGAGAGTATGAGAGTGGGTGAGAGGGAATGAGAGAGTATGAGAGTGGGTGAGAGGGAATGAGAGCGTATGAGAGTGGGTGAGAGGGAATGAGAGCGTATGAGTGTGGGTGAGAGGGAATGAGAGCCTATGAGTGTGGGTGAGAGGGAATGAGAGCGTATGAGTGTGGGTGAGAGGGAATGAGAGAGTATGAGAGTGGGTGAGAGGGAATGAGAGCGTATGAGAGTGGGTGAGAGGGAATGAGAGCGTATGAGAGTGGGTGAGAGGGAATGAGAGCGTATGAGTGTGGGTGAGAGAGAATGAGAGCGTATGAGAGTGGGTGAGAGGGAATGAGAGAGTATGAGAGTGGGTGAGAGGGAATGAGAGCGTATGAGAGTGGGTGAGAGGGAATGAGAGCGTATGAGAGTGGGTGGGGGGAATGAGAGCGTATGAGAGTGGGTGAGAGGGAATGAGAGGGTGTGAGAGTGGGTGAGAGGGAATGAGAGCGTAAGAGAGGGGGTGAGAGGGAATGAGAGCGTAAGAGATGGGGTGAGAGGGAATGAGAGCGTAAGAGAGTGGGTGAGAGGGAATGAGAGCGTAAGAGAGTGGGTGAGAGGGAATGAGAGCGTATGGGAGTGGGTGAGAGGGAATGAGAGCGTATGAGAGTGGGTGAGAGGGAATGAGAGCGTATGAGAGTGGGTGAGAGGGAATGAGAGCGTATGAGAGTGGGTGGGGGGAATGAGAGCGTATGAGAGTGGGTGAGAGGGAATGAGAGGGTGTGAGAGTGGGTGAGAGGGAATGAGAGCGTAAGAGAGGGGGTGAGAGGGAATGAGAGCGTAAGAGATGGGGTGAGAGGGAATGAGAGCGTAAGAGAGTGGGTGAGAGGGAATGAGAGCGTAAGAGAGTGGGTGAGAGGGAATGAGAGCGTATGGGAGCGGCGGGTTAGCGCATCACGGTGGCGGATCGTCGCAATGCGGCCGGCAGGGTGGCCGCATTGCGCATTGCGACGGCGGCGGCCTGGTCGGCGCGATGCGCGGAGCGGCCAAAAGCAGGACGCAATGCGCATCGCGGCGGCGGCGGCCCGGTCGGCGCGATGCGCTTTGCGGCCCGAAGCTGGCCGCAATGCGCATCGCGGCGGCGGCTGCTCCTGATCGTCGCGATGCATCTCGCGACGATCGGGCCCGATGCATCGGGCGATGCGCTGTTCGGCGCGCCGGTTTGTGGGCGCATCGTGACAGCGGTCTGATCGACTTTATTCATTCATATTAGTAGTAATTTCCGAGTAACAAGGGACTAAACGTGAATGGATGGGGAAAGGCTTTAGGGCTAAGGCACGCACCGTTGATAGGAAGTCAGGTGCTGCTAACGAACGCCTTGGATGCGTGACGGGGAAGGCAGCTGGCGAAAGGTATGATAGCTACTAGTAATAGCGTGAGGAATAGCTGATGGCGGGAAGTAAGTTGGAGAGCTGCGCTGGGGTCAAGGTTCTGTACTTGGTTGGAACCGTAGCGGGCAGGGGGGTGTACAGCACGTCGGGTCGTGGTGTGGTTACGGTGGGCTGGAGGCTCGACGGTACAAGCGTGCATCAAACCTCTCCGCACGAGTTGGCGCGAGCGGGAAATCGGCCTGGTTTCAGGAATTTCTGGCGGGGGTTTCATGTGTTACCATTCGCGTGAAACCCTAGCTGTTGATGGCGACTGATTCCGTGACCCCGCTTACCAAGCCCGTCAGGACACTCGATACAGTTACCGTACGCTTTTTTTTTTTTACGGTACCATTGACGTTATCGGGTCACATGATGGTTACCTGTGACATATTTTCCCGAAATTCGTGGATGCTAAGCGTGATTACAAAGAGGTATCGTAGTGGATCTACTTTGGATCTATCTTGGATTGCTCCAGCATTGTGCAGTAAGAGTGTATTATTTATGGTATGCGTAACAAGCTCACTGAACAAGAACACAGTAAAACACATGGATGCACACTGGTGTAAAAAATGCCTGGCAGCATGAGCAGCATGGCAGCAACCACACTAAAGCAACACTCTGTACATTGGCTATTCTATTCTAAATCTCCACGGTTTGGGATGGAGGAAATGGAGGTGCTAACACGCTAGTTTGCTCCAACATGCTGCTGTCTGCATCCCAGAGAAAAGCTGCATGGGCTGCAAGGACATAGCTGCAAGGAGCCAGGACAAAAAAATGAGTTAGTTGTTGGCATTTGTTTGCGTTTGGGCTTCCACAAATGAGAGAATTCATCAACATTCCGGGAAGTACGTTTCGCTTACCAATTGTCAGGAGAAACTTCAACTGCCTGTTGAAACATTGATGAAGCTTTCTCAGCGTCACACATCCCTTCCCAGAGAAACTTTGCGTACAGCACCAGAAGTTCACCGTCAGTTGGTGCCACTTCGATGGCCTTCTGGAAAACAGCATCTGCTGCAAAATAGTCTCCTTTCACCTGGCAGGAAGAGGACAAACGACAGGACAGCTTTTACTGCATGGCAGATTGAAGGAAAATTACTTGAATACTGCAATGAGCATGTGGGTAACATCAACGTATCAACGAGGCTTACCTCGTACAAAAACTGAGCGTAGTTTCGGAGAAAGAGGGCATTGCCTGGGTCCTCCTCCAAGGATGCTCGGTACAATTCATCCATTTCTTGCACTTTGCGCTCTTCTTCAGGCGAACCGCCGAGGTGATGCCGAGGCAACATCGGCTTGCTGCAGAAGCACACCGAGCCAACCTCGCACTCTCCAGACGGCGGAAAATGTTCAGGCGATTGCTGCGGATATGCAGGCGAGGCTCTATCAGGCACTGTCTCGCCGGAACCCATCCATTCGCTGGGTCGATTCTCAGCATCTTCAGTCCATATGGGACGGCATCCGTGAGCGTTGCACGCAATAGTCATGCCACCAGGCCCATGAGCAATCATGGTGTAAAGCTCTCCATCCACCCGTTCCGAAACGGATGATGACTGTTGATTACGTTCCGCAGGATGGACGGGAATGTCCGATGCATTGTCAGGCCCCAGAGTCGATGCACCGTCATGATAGTTCATGGACCCCAGCCACGGCTCGGTGTGAATGTCTCCAGAAAGGAAACTGGGAAATAAGAACCCTGGAGATTCCATGCAGGTGTACACGGAAGCTGGCGCGACGAACACAAGTGGAGTTGAGGAGGACAAGTTTGGTTCGCGATACACGGACATTGAAGCTGCATCTTTGGAGCAGCCTCCCAGATCTGGCCTTCTCCATGATCCGCCATTGTGCATTAGGTTACTCTCCGTAGCTCCTGATGCTTCGTCAGGGTCTTTGATGCTTGTTGCTCCAAGTTCAGGCGGCGGAGATGACAGGCTGCTGAAACCCGAGAAAGGTAAGCCAGAAGTTGATAAAAAGGGCGACGACAGATCACCTGCATCCATAGACGACGACGCTGAGCCTGGGAGATCCATTTCCGATACCGTACGGTAACGCAGCCGTTGTTGACATCCATGATGTCTATTTTCTCTTGCAGGCAATTCCCGATTACGCATCTGCGACTGCGACCCTTGAGACAAGGAAAACGACGATGTCACAGGAGAAGGTGTCGAAGCCCAAGCACCCTGAGAAGCTGCTGGACAGTAAAAGCCGTCTTCGTGATGGAATGGTTCCAGGGACATTGACGTGGACGAGCGATGGAAACCTGAGGACGAACGAGGGCTGAAACAAGGACTTCCCATGGATGTTTTCGAAGAGGCGTAGGGCCTGTAGGCTCGACGGATTGACGATTTTTGCCGAGTTTTGGTGTCGGCGTCCGAGATAGCAGGCAAAACAGGAGCCGAGACACTTCTTAATAGAATTGCGTCAGCCATGGTTACGCGGATCTTGATCGCAAACTTAGCTTCAGTCTAGGAAAGCTACGAATCTGGTATAACGCTATCTGAGGCACGATTGCGAACGGAATGAGCCCTTCTGAAGAGCAAGGAGAAGCCGAAGGGCAAAGAAAATAGCTCGGCCCGCACGGCAGCACACACTCCTGTTTGCCGTCCAAACTCGCTTACTATTTGTCCTGGGAAGACAGTCTAAACGACCAACCGGAGCAAGGAATCAAGAAACGCTAGGTGCGCGATGGCCTGTTCATTCTAAACACAGACCACTTGACGAATCCGTGACTTCTTTTAAGAGAAAATACCAACTCCATTCGTATTCCAGTTATGCTGAGCTGTCACTTTGGTCGCTGCTGAATGCTCCCAATAACCGCCATGGCCATGGAAACATGGAACTTTGACAATGACAGCTGCTCCATTCACATGAATGACATCACCACATTGGTTCTTCCGCGCTGGAGACTGATTGGAGGGGGGAAAATAATATTTTCCCCACCTCACCCAAAGCAGCTTTCTCTCTCAGCCACTGCCGAGCCACTGTTGACCATCACATCCAACCGTTCAGACCTCTCGTGGGCACATGCATCGACGTCACACGTTTAGTCTGTTACCGAAGCAACCATTGCCACATTTTCTGCCCGAAGCAGACTGCAACAGGCTGGCTTCTCGTCTGCCCTTGCTGCCCGCGCAAACGACCACAACGGTCCGAGTCGGGACTCGGAAGCAGACCGAACCGAAACCACAATCGCCCTTGTATTTGGGTCCACCACCACCACACGTGGGCAGAACCATAACGAGAGGGGCTTGCGTTCCCACACCATGCTGGAGGATGAGAAAACAACAGGGCAAAGAGCACGAATCACGAAATTTACACCGTGGCCTGGGACGAAGAGATCCCTAGAACCAGGAATGAGACTTGATACGGGGAACTGTGACAGCGTGGCAACCGCGACGGCCGATTGGAAGGAAAAGGAAATTTCAGTACCCAATAAAAGGACACCTTTTTTGCGGGGTCCATGGAGTTAGCTCAGCAACTGATCCTAATTGACGCTGGTCAATACAGGAAAGCGGAGAAAAAGCGAACATCCCTGCTGACCTGGTGACAGCTGGTTTGTTGGTCCCTTTTTCCCACCTTCCAACCCCTTGCGGGACGCAAGCAGGCGGATGGTCCCTGCGCGTATGGAGATCGCCAAGCCGCTGAGGGGTTCGATGCCACAAAGCGCTCCCTAGCTAACTGCAATGGCGGTCATATGTGGCGGTGTATCTCTTGTCGTCCGAGCTTTTCGGAGCTATGCATTGGAACCTGCACGTGTCGGCTGCTCTGATGGCATCATAATGATTCATTCACGTGAAAAGCAGACAGTATGCAGCATGAGCAGAAGGTATCCATAATAAGCTACTCCAGTAGAAACCGCTGCAACGTATTTGTATGAACAGTCTGCTCTGTAATCAAATGCAAGAAAGCAACATGACCTTCTCATGCCAGTGCTGGTTGAGAGCAATGAATAACAATGCCTGGCATGGACCTACTTAGAGTGGGCTGGGGTCATGATAATATTATCCCCTACTGGCCCATTTGTCATAAAAATATCAAGGTTGTGCGTGCGTGCGTGTGTGTGCAGTAGTACAGGGAGAAATGCGCCAAGCCAATATCCGGTTCTCCAATGTAAGCACATTATTCCCTGTACGTGTGTTGGAAACAATGGAACTTAAACGCTTCAGCAGTGTCAAAACATTGCACCAGAAGCGAGGCAACCTACACCGAAGCACCTGCGAGTCAACCCTCAGAGGTTGAATCGGCTGCAGGAAGTTACGCGAAAGTCAAAGGTCGCTGACCCTTGACCTTGTTGGAAACAATAAGTCTTAGTGCGCTTCTGTCGTGTCAAAACCCAAGACACTAGCGAAGCAGTCCGAATCGAAACATCGAGTCAAACCTCGGAGGTTAGGGTAACCGCCTGGAGGTTACGAGAAAGTCAAAGGTCAGCGACCTTTGACTCGACAATTACAGCGCGACAGTTAAGGACACACAACTGACTCGTTACAGAGCAGTTGCCCGAGTCGCACTGTATCGAATCGCAACAGCAATACAGTTATCTATCTATTCGTATTCCGTGTACCCTTATATAAGACCTTGTATTTGCTTGTTTAATTTAATCTACTTTGCTCTCACACACCAGTGCAAGGTCGGTTCACAAGTTTCATTAAACGCTTCCGCTATTACAAGTTTCCTACCCAGAGTTATCCTCTGCAAAGATCCTTAAGGGCCTTCTCAGCCCAACATGGTATGAGAGCTGACAGGGGAAACTCTTGTCAGATATATATGACATAGCTGTTGTAGGCTATAGTGGGGTAGCACATATGGGGTACAGCTCTCTAGGGTTTGTATTTGTACCCAACCTTCACTTAGTCATTCTCATTCCTGTTCTAGTATTCTCACATGGTATAGAGCGGGTTCCCTGTGGGAACTTCGCCTAGGGCCCACCGAAGCGCGCCCCGAGGCGCGCTAACCTTTTTTTTTTCTCTCTCTCGAGCGACCCTCTGTGTCGCCCTTCCCTCGCGGCCCCGCTGCCCTTTCAGATGCGGCCTCGCCGCCCCTTTCGAACGCGGCCCCGCCGCCATTTCAGACGCGGCCCCGCCACCCACTTCGGACGCGGCCCCGCCCGCCCCTTCAGTCGCGGCCCCGCCGCCCACTCGGACGCGGCCCCGCCGCCTGCTCAGCCGCGGCCCCGCCGCCCGCTACGAAGCGGCCCCGCCGCCTGCTTCTGACGCGGCCCCGCCGCCTCCTCAGCCGCGGCCCCGTCGCCCACTCAGGCGCAGCCCCCGCCGCCTGCTCAGCCGCGGCCCCGCTGCCCGCTCCGACGCGGCCCCGCCGCGTGCTGAGCCGCGGCCCCGCCGCCCTCCCCTCCGACGCGCCCCGCCGCCTACTCAGACGCGGCCCCGCCGCCCGTTCCGACGCGGCCCCGCCGCCGTCACTCGCGGCCACCCCGCCCTTGCGCGGCCCCGCCGCCTCCTACCTGCGGCTCTACGGCCGCCTCTTACTGCGGCCCTTCGCCGTCCCTGCAATCCGGCCCCGCCGCCCCCTTCCTCTCGCGCCGCCCAACTGCGGCAGCCGAGCCGCACGCCTGCAGCAGCCGAGCCGCCCCACCTGCAGAAAGCCGAGCCAATCACCTGCAGCAGTCGAGCCGCCGGACCACCGAGCAGCAGTGCACCCGAGCCGCCCTGCACCCGAGCCGCTCTGTCGCCGAGCCGCCCGGGAGCCGAGCCGCCCAGTAGCCGAGTCGCTGAGTCTCCGAGCCGCCCTTCTGCAGAGCTGCCCGACCTGCCCTGCCCGGTGAGCACAGTACCGCTGTCACTGCGTGCTCTTCCCCTACTGCTTGCACTGCTTCGCTGTCGTCGTCATGGCTACCCCTAGTGTCCTAGCTTTTGACGCTGAGGGTCGCGCCATTGACTTTGAGGTCTGGGTAGAGGACCTGCAGTTGTTTTTACAGTGCGATAGGGCAGATGGCCTCTCTCTCTTTGACCTCACTTCTGGCGCCTCTCCTGCCCCATGCTGCTGATGCTGATCCCACTGTGCGCTCTCAGTGGGCCACCCGCGATGCTGCTGCACGTCTTGCTGTGCGTCGCCACCTCCCTACCTCTGAGCGCGCGCACTTTAGTCAGTACAAGAGTGCTCAGACCTTGTACGACGCTGTAGTTGCGCGCTACTCCTCCCCTGCCACTGCTGCACTGAGCCGTCTCATGCTTCCCTACCTCTTTCCTGACCTCTCTTGCCTTTCCCACTGTTGCTGACC